TAAAAACCCAAAAAGGTTAAATGGTCCTTTTATTATTGAAAAAAGCTCCTTTTTGTTTTTATATTGAAAATATCTCTTTTTTAGTCCCTAAAATTTAAAATTCAGTTCCTTTTTAGTCCCTTTGTTAATTTTTGCTCGCGTGACAAGTTATCTTAACAGAAACATCTAACATGAATATTCTACCGTGTAAGAGTGCTTACATAGACTTAATAATACCCCTCCATGTCACTCTCTCCCTCACGAATCCTATTAGACATAACCCTAAATTCTCCTCTCTTTTTTTCTTAGTTCCCTCTCTAGAAATCATCTTCCTTCTTTTGAAATTCTCTTTTTTGTTCATAATCAACCCATTGGTCAAGATATAATTGAGAATTCATAAGAATATTTTCATTGATAAAACCTTAATTTCTTCTTCGCAAAATTAGATGAACCAAGTTATGAAGTTCATAGTAACATGAACACAACAACATGAACCTATCACCTGCAATTTCAAACCCAAATATCAAATACAATTTGGGTTTTGTAATGAATTTAGAACTTAGATTCCATGGGAAACCTAGAAATTGGGTTTGAGGAACCCAAATCTAGCTTCCACTAATCTAGCATGTGGGTTCCGCATGGAACCCAAAAGAACTGGAACCCAAAAGAACCCAATTGTTGGATTTCATGAGGAACCTAGTTGTTGGGTTCTCGCAGAACCCAATTGTTGAGTTCCTTGTGGAACCTAGTCTATGGGTTTCTTGAAGAACCGAGATCTGGAGTTCCTCGTGGAACCCTGAACTTGGGTTCTTCAAGGAACCTAAATCTGGGCTCAACAAGGAACCCAGCAACTAGGTTCATGAGGAATCGAGGATGATGAAGAGGAAGAGGATGGTGAAGATAAACAGTGACATAATGCCGAGGATGAGGGTGAGGATGAGAAAGAAGAAGATGAATGAATTAAAGTTAATTATATTTAAATTCATTTAATTCATAAATTAAAAAGTAAAATTTTTTATTTTGTACGCGTAGCCCGAAATATTTAAATGAAATGCTTACATGGATTTATAATTTTATTTATGTAATTTTCATATCATTTATAATATCATTTATATAAAAAATAATCAAGTGATTCTATTAATTAACATGACAAATCAACAAAAATTTAATGAAGGAATAAAAAAGGACTAGATTTTAAACTTTAAGGACTGAAAAGGAGATTTTTATAGTATAAAAACCAAAAAAGGACTTTTTTCAATAGTAGAAAAACCAAAAAAAGTATTTAATTTTAAAAAAAAAAGTTTAATGTTTTGTTACCAAAATCTCTCAAAGCCGTACATGCAAAATATAGTATTTTTTTTTTTATTAATCTCTCTAAGTCTTAAGGCATATTGAATCTTAGTTAATTTAAAAATAAATTGCGTTAAACTCTATAAGAAAAAGCTCTACAAGGAAAAGTTTTCTCAGTATCTTTTTTTTATTCATAAAATTCGAATTCAAATTTTTATTTAGATAAAATCAAATTTTTTTTACTCAAACTAATAAGTTGTTGATATAAAATATGATATTGTTAATCTTAATGATAGGAATTGTGCATTGTTTTTTAGATAAATCAAAATGTACCAAGGTAGAGTACGGGAATACTCCAATTGATATGAACCGGGCATGATACTACAATTGATTAACCAGCTGTTTTCTAATGCAATTAATCGGATCAGATTTCCAGCCGATTCAATTGTGGACCAGCAGTGGTCCTAGCAACCATTTCGGAAACTCAGAGTTTAGTTCAGGTACAGTTACTATGACTATTAAAATTTTTGAGAGTAATAAAATTTTAATTTTTTAAACAATATTTAAAAGTATTAATTTATTAATTGATTTTAATTATTAATTAATCAATATTAATTATTTTATTCATTAACACTTATGATTATTAATTATTTTATTCATTAACACTTATGATTATTAATTATTTTTTTCATTAACACTTATGATTATTAATTATTTTTATCAATTAAATTAAATAAAATCAATATTTTTAAAAATAATATCTTAAAAATTTAATAACTTAATATTATTATTAATGATTATAACCATAACTGTTTTGTTCTTTCTAGCTTTTTCTTTTATATATATTACATACATATACATATATATAATCTTTGGGTTAATTTAATAAATAATTTAGTAACTTTTATATTTTTTTTGTTTTGTTTATTATTTTTGAATATTTTCAAATCCATTTATTATCTTTTGGTTTTATTTCAGCTTAATATAGTTTGTTATTTTTTTTTACAAAAATTTCACTTTATTTAATTAAATTGATCTTTAACAATATCTTTTGTGAATTTTTACTTATTGAAATTAATTTTTAGATAAAACTAATTTTATAAGGATAATAAGTTTTTTTATTGTAAAAAAAAAATATAACTTTTATCATATGTTTAGTTTTTTTTTTAACAATTATTTTTTATAGTAAAAACCACAATTATCAACATATTTTTCTTCTTTATAATAAAAACCACAATTATTGAACATTAATAGTTTATATAATTTATCTTAGGCAGTTTTGCTAATTAAGATTATTTTCTTTTAATTTTTATTTAATTTTTTTGTTTTTTTGTTAAAACTAATAAAAATTTTATATAAAAAATTATTTTAAAATATTTTACAAAATTTATAAATTATTTTAAGAAACTGATTTTTTAAACTAAAATAAAATTAATTAAATTTATAATTAATAGACTCATCATCATCGAATTAAGTCTAAAATCTTTCTCATAGTTTTAGAGCAGCTAGGTTGGTACTCACCCTACTTAATTAGGGTCGTTGCTGGTCCTGACATGATTTTGAAAATAACCTTCAAACACCAAGGTCACCATTTTCTCAAAAAAAAAACACCAAGGCCACCATTTCCATAATGGTATTGAGATGACCAAAAAGAAGATGATAATTGCCCCATCAATTCGTTTTCAAGCTAACCAAATATAGAGGAATTAATCGAAGACCAAATGTGCAATGTCTCCCTTTTCCTTCGAAGTGGGCTTTACGTAATGTGAAAAGCATGGATGATTGGACAAAAACTTTATAGCTAAAGATGGAGACGGCCAAACCGCCTACCACACATTTCCATCGCCTTTTTCTCGAGAAAAGCACTTCTGTTCTTGACCTGCTTTACCGACAATTGATAATCGATTTCTTAGGCCTTGTCTGGCTAAGGGAGAAAATTTTCGTCTAACTTTCCCTTTTTTTAAGGATAAATTGAGTATATTAATATATTAATATTAAAAAATATATTTATATATATATATTTTATATATTATATTTATATAAAATTTTAATTATTAATAGTTAACATTTATCATAAATTTTTAAATAAAAAATAATTATTTTTAATAAATATAAATAAATTTTAATTTTTAAAAATAAAAATAATTAAAATTTTATATAAATATAATACATAAAAATAATGCACAAATAAATTTATATTTATTAATATTATATCAAAATAAAAATAAAATTGATGTTTTTAAGAAATATTTTTCTTGATACAATTATTAATAAACAAACCTTTTTCCCATTCTTTTCAAACTTACTTTTTTTTAATGTCAAACTCATTCGATTAGTTTTATCAACTTTTCAAACATTACATTCTACGAAACATGAAAAAAGATTAATAGCACAATCGATTTTTTATTATAAAATTTGTATACGGTTCCTACAGTACCCTTTTTAATAAAAACTATTGTAGTAAAATTGCCCTTGTGCCAGGCAGTTTCCTAACATCTTAGATAGGTTGCTCTTCGTCAATTTCCTTCCTTTCTCGTCTTGGTAGCCCCTGTTTGCTCGACTTCGTCGAGTAATTTACCAGTGAATGTGTGAAAACCACCAAGTTAATACTGTTGCACAAGGGGGAAATTTTACATAATTTTCTTAGGAAAGTGAGAAAAGTGCTGCCAACAACATCCACCCGCAATCAAGCATATAAACTAAAAGAGATTGAACTTTTACTGTTCATTTTGCAAGAAAAATTATTAGCTTGGGATAGGACAACATAAAAGCAGTCACCAATGAATCTTCATACATTCCTCAACTGTTGAGGGTATTTTTATTTTTTCTGTGCTTTCGTTTTAGGCTGAACTGTGAATAACAGTCAATTTTAGTTCACTTTTGCTTTATGCAAAACGGCCTTTTCCTGCAAAATTGTGATGCAACTGATTATTTTTAAAAGTAGGCCAAATATGCAATTCACGTCAATAATTTTGAGTTAAAATAAATTAATATTTAGTAAAAAAGGCATCTGTCCTCGACCTAGTGGTTTTGTTATCTTTGATAGGTGTAGCTTTAGCTCTTTTTGATTGAGTTCGATTTTTTCTTTTTTTCTTATTTTTTTAACAAAGTGTCAAGAAAAAGATTCGAATTTCAAACTCAGTAAGAGGAGGAGGAACTGCACCTTTAAAGTAGTTCCAAAATCACTTGGTTTCGAGTCATGTGCTCGATTTTTTCACTTTTAATTTATAATATGTTAAAAAAATACATTTAGTAAAAAAAAGTTAAAATAATTCATCTATCCTAAAATTATATTTAAAAAAATTAACTCCAATTTAATAATTTATATTAATTTTAACTTTTCATATAGTTTCCTTTGTACAGTTAAATTTAAACTAATTTCTTTATAATGAAATTTTGAAGTGACAATTTATTTTCACCTTTGTTAGTGCTAATTTACTTTTAACTTAAAAATATTGGAAGCAAATTGGAATTTGAAATCCCAGTGCAATAGTAAGATAAAAATCTTAAAACAATGTCATTTGGATCTCAAACTCAAATCTCAATAAAAGATAAATTTGAATAAAGCTGGTTTAATTGACATTAAGATTGTAATTCATAAAGGGCAGTAACTTCCATTCCATCCAACAAACAGGGACAGTAGTCCCTGCAACAGCCAGGGACCTAAAAATTTTAATCATATATCATCTATTAATTACTGCACCAAGAATTCTAAGATATATGGCAAAAGCTTGCCCCGCCAATATATATTCAAAAATGCAATTACGACCAGGAATTTGAACCAAGCTCACAAAATGATTCTACAACATCAGGACTTTCATCCACAGGTTACTAAACAAGCAACGTCGATTTGAGCAATTGATAAACTGGTAGCTAATTAAGGACGCTCAATTCAGGACTTGTCTCGACCACCTAATAACCAGAATTCCGTCCATAGCCTCCATAACCACTGTTACCACCACCAAATCGAGGAGTGCTAGGTCTTCCATTTGCAAAACTTACTCGAATATTCCTGCCATTGAGTTCCTACATTATGGTAACCAACAAAAATTAATGTACCACTCAATTTAAATTTACCTGATAATATATTAATGCATATTTCTCCTGACCTGACGATCCATGGAGGACAATGCAGAGCTGGCTGACTCCCCACTTGCAAAGTTAACAAAACCAAATCCCCTGGACCTCCCAGACTCTCTATCAGTGATAACCCTTGCTGATAATCAACAGAAACATCAGTGAGTAGACAAACACCGAGCATCCTAAGCACTAACAAAAACTACAACTAAAACTCAGCTAGCCTAAATGAGCTGTTAGGCATCAACTACCCTCATCATCATGCAACAACAGTTCCCTTACAGAGTCTTTAAGAAAAGCCTCAATAAAACAACAGTCCACTTGTCAATGAACTAAAAAAACAAACCAAAGATCATATGGACATTGGACACCTTAAACTGCTAGATCTAGATCTCAGGTACAGAAACAAAATCGATGATAATATTCCAAAAGTAATGGGCATGTGAAGGTTTACAAACACATCAGCCATAATCCTGAAACATCAAACCCAGGAAAAGCAATCTAAATACAGTGTGCTTGTAAACTTTTTTCAAGACTAATTTTATTTTTCAGAAAATGGATAGAACAGAGTTGATTTCCCTTGCAATGCCTAAAAATTGCTTTATTTTGACTTCTTTGATGAAAATCATTACCACACTAACCAAAACTTATAAAGGGAAATTAGAAATGCAAAGTAACAAGAGAGGTTAGATAATTTCTGCATCACATTTTACAATTTTCAGACACTGTGGTCATATTGAACATGTAATAAGTACCATTACATTTTATTGACCAAAAACAATCAACTTGACTTAACCGTCTAACATTAAATCACAACATCACTGCCAACACCATTCAATTGGAAATACCTAACATTTGAAATTCCACCATAACTCACCATCAGTTACATCACCGAAGTTAGAGAATGCTTCCCTGAGGGACTGATCATCAGTTTCATACGAAAGTCCTACAAAAGATGCATAACAGCGTCAAACACACACACACACATATTGCTAAGGCACACATCCACACATCTAGTATGTCAATACCTCCAACGAAAAGCCTTGTAGTCGATGCAGACATGCAACGAATGGAGTTAACCATTGATGTCATTGAAAGTTGAGCGTTCTGCCTCAATAGGCTTCCGAGCTTAGCGCTAAGAGCCATTTCAATTCTTGACTGGTATCATGTTTTCCAAGAACAAAATCGTGAATCAGTTCCAGGTTTTACACTTACGGCTATCAAACAGAGCAACATACGATAAAGATCAAAACTTTAATCAAACCCCATCAACAAAAAGTCAAACCATGGCAATTCTGTGATAAAAAAAACACAATGGCTGTCCAGACATCGTTAATCTGGAATTGGGTTTCGTTCAGAAATGAACTTGAAATCCCCATTAAAAAAATTCAAAAACGCAAGTCGAATCAAACAACAAATCAACAATATCCAGATAGCAAAAAGGAATATAACAAGATACGAAATCAATTCAAAAGGAGACACATTGAATACAAAGAGAATAACTTGCGAGTATTACCCCGAAAATGAATAGGAAGAATGGATAGATTTTAGGACAAGACTGTCAAAGCGGCCAGGGTTTAAGAACAAGCGAGCGAACAGAGAACAGTGTCTTCTGAATTTTAGGGAGGTTTAAGGGGTTGTACTGTGCTGCGTTTAGGACTCTTTGCTTTGGTTGGGGGACGTTGCTCTTTGTGCTAGGTTAAGTTGTATATTTATAACATGTATTGTGACTGCTTTAGTTTTTATTTTATATTATCTATATTTCATAAATTTAAATTTTTATTGAAAAAAATTTAGAAATTATCTTTAAAAAATATAAAAAGTGAATCAATAAAAAAATTTTAAAAAGTAAAAATTTAAAACTTTTCAAAATTTATTATTTAAAATTAAAAAATATAAATTAAAAAAAAAAATTTAACTCATAAAATATAAATGATATAAAATAGTTAAAGCACTTCGAAACTAAACCAAACATGTCCTTAAATTATTAGTCGAAAGTCATAATAAAGAGGTAATTAGTTAACAAAGTACATCTCTTAAACAAACATTTTACTCCAACAATCTAATGTAGATATTACCCCGATTGAATTTTAGAGAAGCTGAGGCTGTATGTGAGCAAGGCCTTTTTCTGCTCATCTTTTCTGCACACCATAATGTATTAGGATTCAGATTGACGCCAGCATTGATATTTATTTTTTACAGTATATGTTGTTATAAGAGTTATTTATTTTATAATTTATATTGTATTATTAGATTAATAAAATTATTGAAAAAATAACTTTTAATATCAAATTTTTGTTTCACTTGTTAAATAAAATTGTGTAGTTTAAAGCATTAGTTACTGCATAATACTTTTCATTTTTTTAATAAAAGCATTTCTTTTTTTTCTTTTTTTTTTTTTTTACTGCATTTACCATACCAAAAAAAATACTGCCTTGGTCGATGGTTTGCACTCAAACATCATGGTCCTTGATGAGCAGGATTTATGTTGCACAAATTAATATCGAGTTTTACTTTCTTTGAGTTTAGGTTTTACAGTCCAATGAAGGTTGAGTAGTCAAAAATTATGGTGAAAATGGTATATTTACCTATTTGTTAAAAAATTACGTAGTTAATGATAGCATTTACACGACCAATTTATAGAAATTGCACATACAGTAGTGGTTCATATTGTAGGACAATCTTAAGGGTCTTCATGCATTAAATACGGTGAAATCCTTACTATAAGATTGATACAAATTTATGCAAAGTTGATTTTTAACACCAAGCAGATAGATTTACGTAAAGCTTTTACGTAGTAGAAAGTTAATAAATAAATTATAAGACAAATTAGACAATGTAGACAACTATACCTTTGGCAAAAATTTTCATTTGTAAGTTAAAATTTGTCCACTTTTCATACCACATACAAATATGTAAATGAAAAAACTTTGATACCATTTTATTTACATGTAGGAATTAGGAATCCCTTGTGTGATTTATCTAGATTAGAGTCTTCCCAACTTTGAATCCGAATCTTTTGACTGAAGGAGAACCATATCTATCAATCAAGGCATACTTGGATGCATGAATGCATCATGATGCATGCGTCTCAATCTTCATTGCATTCATATATATCTACCTGGTTCTTTATTGCATGGCTGAATCAGAGAGAACCGAATGCATGAAGTATTCCAAAGTCCAAACTGATTACTCGTTGTAAGCACAAAATTCAAATATTGAATCAATTACTGCTTTAAAGATGATGCATGCTTATAGAGTTTCATGACTTCCAAGTTAGACTAGACAATAAAAGTACAATTTAAATATTAAAATTATTAAAATATTATTGATAATAAAATAATATAAAGTTTTTTATTAAAAATATTTTAATAAATTTATAGGTTATATTATATTTTTATTATGTAATCTAACTTAAGAAAGAATACTTTTTGATATATTTTTTATATTAACATTTTGATATTTAGAAATCATAATAAATTTTATAAGAGAACAAACTTTCTTAACATTTATTTTTTCATTAATTTACCATCTATTTTTTTATTTACAATATTTAAATTAAAAATTTTATTTAAGTAAAATTGAATTCATTGCACTTGAATCAATAAACTTTTTTTTTTTACATTTATAACAATATAAGTATTTTTTTTTTAAGATAAACAGTGGTGGAGTTCTTGAGCCCCTCGTTGAGTCAAAGATATTTATTTTTATGTTAATCTCGTGTAGTCTTAATCAGTGCAGCTTTCATGGATTTTTCCAATTGGGCAATTGCGCCCTGCCCTAACACAAGGCCTTTCTAAGTCGTAATTTCTTGGCACAAGTGGTACGTAGAAGATGGAAACCATTATATCCTTTTGGGCAAGTTGACTCAGCGCCGAAAGTCCATGGACATAGATAGGTTTCTCTCATAGGATGGGGGCACAGGCCACGTGTTTATACTGCACCAGCACAAGGTATCGGATATGGGATGGCAAAGGAGAGCATAACCAATTGACCAATACATGTGCTTCCGGCCAGTGCTTCACTACCCTTTCCAACGACAACGTCAAAACGTTTTATCCCACGCTCCTACCTAGTGCGTCGTTTCCACTTTCCTCTAACTTTGACTAAAGTGACTAGTTTTCTTTCAAATCTTATAAATATTTGATCTTATCCAATTCGCATCATGAAATATTGAATAATACTTCCTCCCCTCTTCAACCTTAGTCGGTTTTATACTTTTAGCCAATAAAATATTAAAAATATACTAACAATTAATTGACAAAATTTTATATTTATTTTTTATTAATAATTACTTAAATAAATTTTTTATTTAATATATGTCATAATTATCTTTTTAAAATATTAAAAATATGAATAAGTACATTAAATTACATTTAGAAGGAGAAAAATAGATAACTAAACTTTAACATTTTAAGTTAAAAATTAAGTCTATTAAAATTAAATAAGAGTATATATTTAATAAACTAAATTATACATTATGGTATATACATAAAAATAATATTTTATAGAGTAAACAATAAAAATTATGTAGACACAAAAATTAAAAGACTCATACACAAAATTTTAACGTTTAAGTTCTCGACTTATTATTAATTATGTCAAATATCAATAAGTATAAAGTTAAAATACTTATTATTTATCACAAAGAATCAAACTAATAAAAACATACCAAATCATAAAACCACAATAAAAAAAGAAAAAGAAAAAATCAATTAATATTATAGCTTTGGTTATAATTATGTTATTTGATTGAAAATTTTGTTTAGCCTATTCTTCTACCTTAAGTTTAAAATTATCATTTAGCAATTAACAAGTGAAAAAGATTTATAAGAAAAAGGTATTTTTTTGCAATATATTTTTTTTATTGTAAGTTTATAAATTCGTATGTCTTGAAATGGCTTAAAAAAATAAATCTACTCCATGTTTTGTAAAAAAATCATTAATTTCCCCATAATCGGAACGGAATTTAGAATTTCGGTGGAGGCGCGTGCAATGAAGTGTGACACAAGAGCGTGATCGAGGGAATTAAGGCTAAGGACTTGCGCGCGCACACTGTATTGGGCTCCGCTGGAGGGTCTGCCAAATTGTTTGGGTTAAATTACAGGATTGGTCCCTAAATATTTTGATTTGGTTACCATTTTAGTCTTTTTTTTTTTTTGGGTTTTGAATAATCTCAAACATATTTTTACTGCTTTGTTCAGGTCCCTCCATGAAAAAAATGACGTGGCACCAATTTTCATAAAAAATTCATCACTTTTAATTTTTAAAAATAAAATTGAAATTTTATTAAAAAAAATGAAATGAACATTTAAAATTAACTTTTTATTTTTTGTTTGTTTGAAATTTTTGGGAACCCATTTTTAAATTTCACTTTAATGTGTGGCTTAAAAATGAGTCCATTGATCCTACATGAAAAAACAACACATTAAAATATTAAAAATCAACTATAAAAGTGTAAAATTATAAAATCACTCCTCACACATCTTCTACCCATAACTCTCTCCTCAATCTTTCTATCTTCCTCACTCATCTTGACCTTATCCGTCCTTTGCAATGACTAGACAACGCTTCTTCTCTCAAGACTATAGAGAAGTAGTGGGACTAAGAAAAAGGCTCTTGTTGGATAGAAAACCACATCAAAATCCATCAAGTAGTATTATTAAGAGAGACACTCAAATGATAGATATTGATTTAAGTCTAAAAAAATTCAATAATTTCCAACAAAGTCTATATTTACAATTCTAAAGGAAAAATCCAAAAAAATAGTACTTGTCTTGTAGATCAAAATTGTAGAACTAGGTTAGAACAAACTCATCCTTGACCTATTGTTAACCACGACTAAGGGTGTTGTTCAGTGCACTCTAATCCAAACCAGAACATCTCCCTCCCTCTCACAATGTTCTCCATCCCTCTTCCACACTTTTATCTTATTTTTTTACCCAATTTTAGAGACAATATTCATTTTTGTACAATAAGTAACCATATCCCATTGTCAACGATAAGTCATTCTAACTGGGCTATGTTGACATAATAGTAAAAAATAGAGGATATGAAATTTTTAATTGGAAAGTTTGTCATGGAAGAACTATGATGGACCTAGAAAAATAAGATTATGAAGACAAAAAGGCAAGGACTAAAATGAGACAACATCAAGAAAGTCAGGAACCAATCCGTACGTTAAACCAAATTTATATGGGCCTTTAGAATTTCGCCTCGCTTTTCCATTCTCGCGTGTTAACTTCCGAACAAAAACACCCCCTCCATCCTCCATCCGTCCTCCACCCCTTTTCCCTCTCCCCATTTTCTTCACACACAGAAAAACTCAGAGAAGACAACGTAGAGAGGAAACTGAGATACTCTTTACTTAGTCTTCTCTTACATCTTTTGATTATTCTTTTATCCTGAGTGAACGATTTTGAAATCCAATGCCCACTTTGTAGTGGACAAGGTAATCCCCATTAGCAGTTCAATTTTACAGTTTTTTACTTTCAGATTTTCATAAAAAATTTCTCTTTTTGTTTCTGGTTTTTTTTTTTTTTTTTCCTTTTTTTCAAGTTTAAGCTTTAGCATCAAGTTTTTTCTGCTTTTGATCGATACCCATTTAGCAATACTGAAAAAAGTGTGCTTTGATTCTTCAACTTTCTTTTCAAGTTTACCTTTTTTTTCTGGGGGGTGGTTTGAGTATTAATTTTATGGGAATGGAGTTATGTTTTGTTCCTGGGTACTGGAATATTTGCTTACCAAATTTCTTGTTGTATTTTCTAGGGTTTCATCTGGATCGTAATTGGTAACTTGTGCAATTTTGTAACTTTTCACTAATTAGGGTTTGATCGGAGAGCTAAGGAAGCTCTCCATGTTGTGTATAGTATTCCAATTCCTATTTTTGGTGGGATTGGAGTTTTGGATTGGAAAGATGATGGGTTGAACTGTTAAGCTGTGAGCTTGCCTATAGAACGATGGTTGTTGGAACATTCTTACTGTAGGCATGGAAGAGGATTGCGCATATAGAATATTAGACTTGTGTACACGGTGATCAAGAGTTTGGAAGTGTTTGTTGTTTGGAGGAAAAGGGTCCTGGGTTTTCAGCTATTTTTTTGTGTGATTGAGAATCAGGGAATGATTAAGGGGGAGGTAATGATTCTTTATGTTCCTGGAAAGCAACGGAGAAAATCAGATTATAGTGGACCATTTTTGTTTCTTAGAAAACCATTTGGCTTAACGTAGTTTCAGCAAAAGTTATTCATGATGAGCATTTCTTACGTTGTTTGTTGATCTGGGTGTTTTTGAAAAGGTGTAGTGTAGTTTTAAAGTAGGCCTTATTTAGTGATTGCTGCAGCGGCCTTTCACGTTTGAAGTTGTTTTTCAGTGAAATCTACTGAAATCAAGTGTTCATTTGCAATAATCTAGATTGGCATTGGTGGTTTTAGGATTTCTTGACTGTTTAGAGCGTGGAATTCGTGGAGAGATATTGAAGTTGGAAATGCATGCAGGGACATGGTGCATGGGCAGGAGCATAGTTACTGGTCCGTTCCCTTTGCTGAACAATGCAACTGTGAAGTAATTCAAGCTTTTTGGTTTGTGGAAGGTGTCTGTGCTTTGTGGTCTGGGTGTCTGTGCAATGTCGCGTTGCTTTCCGTTCCCGCGACCAGGGTATGAAAAGAAGGCTAGCACTCATGATTTGGACATATTAAAAAAGGTTAAAATTAAATACTCTCTTTATATATTCTCTTAACATTTTCTAATCAGCATACTTTTCATTAGGATCATGAAGTCACATTCTTTAAAAATTTGCATTAAATTGAAATGCTAGGATTTAGTTTTCCATTTCTATGGAGTATTTAATACCTTCTTCAAAAGTTGCTGCTTTCCTATAACTGACCAATTTTCTGGACTTTTTGTGGCTTTCTGTAACTTTTTGATATAGAATAGAATGATAGTGGATTGTTACTTGGTGAATGAAATGAAGGCATTTGGTAATTTGATTGATTAGTTCATAGGCTAAGCATTAAGGATTGATAAGATCTCAGCTTGGAAGAAATAATCAAATGAATGTTTAGCTGGGAATCACTTTATTGATTGTACTTGTACCAGCAATTCATATAATTATCAAGGATAAAACTGACTTTTCAACAGAATATGCTGGTAAGGGGATAAAAATAGAAATGGCGTTTTCATGAATTTGGTTTCCTTGGGATACTTCAAGTATGTGGGTTTCCACTGTGTTAAAGTTTTCAGATAACTTTGACAATCAGCTTCATCAATGATTTCATCAAACTATAAAGGTCGACCACAAGTGTCAAGGTACTAATAGATTAATAAAGGATTTGGCGCCTAGAGGGTATAACTAGATTGGTTTGAAATGGAAAAGGGATACTCTCACGTCCACAAAATTTAAAAGGAAAAATGAATTCATACAGCTTAACTAAAATATTTTTATTATGAGTCTTAGTTGAATTGAGTGGACCATTTATCCACCATTTGAATGCTCAGTGTTTTCAACTATGGTGGTCAGTTGGTTTTTCTTGTAAAATGTTTACTATTGATGTTCAAATTGGTTATTTTTGTACTAGGATTGTTTACTTTGAATGAAAATGCAGTTTGTAGATATTTATATGCATAATTTCTAATTACTCATATTGATCTGTTTTGGGATTGTGACATCATGTGGTTACAAAAATGAATATTCCTAAGCCAGTGATGTAGTACTAGTACTGATTGCCATAAACACTAAGGTGAACAGTGACTTAATCAGTTCAGAAGTTCAATGATTCTGCATTGGAATACAGAAGAGGAATGAAATATTTCTAGAAACATGGGTAACATTCATCGCTGCTCCTTTTGTTATGTTGTTTTGATTGTTCCTGCTGTCTCTAAGCATAACACAACAAGCACTTTACTGTTGATAAAAAAAAAAGGAAGAAGAAGAACAATGTGGCTTTTCGACTTTCACACTCTTACGGAGCTGAAGAATTTGCCCTGTTGTACTAAACCATAATTCTGTACATATTCTCCCTTAGTTGAATCATGTGTGTGTGGATTCTCTTACAAACTTTGTTCTTCATTATCAGGAGAAGGAAAAAGAGAAGAAGCATAAAAAGGAGAAAAGAGATAAGGAGAAGAGAGAAAGTAAAGAAAAGAAGGAGAAGGATGGAAGTGATGGAAAACATAGGGACAAAAATGACAGAAAGGAAAAGCACAGGGATAGAAAGAAGGAGAAGGAGAAGGAGAAGGAGAGGGATAAGGATAAAGATAAAGATAAAGATAGCAGTCGCACAGACGACAAAAAGCTTTCAGGGCCTACTGAAGGTCAAAATCGAAAGAAGACCTCAGATGAGAAGAAGCTTCAAGAAAAATCTGAGGGTGACAGGGGGAGGGAGGTCAGTCAGAAAGAGAAGGAAAGCAACAAAGATAGAAGCAGTCCTTTGGGTGAGAATAGAGTTGCAGTACAGTTTGCGGGTTATAATGGAGAGAAGCTTATCAAGAATAACCATCTGGCCCAGGATTCCAGGAATTCTAGATTTGTACAGGAGTCTGGCAGGAAGGTCAGAGGTGAAGATAGGGGAACTAAAAATGAGTTGGTTGAGAAGTTTATGGGAGCAGAGCAAAAAAGAGAAGATGAAACAGTCAGATTGGTGTCATCCAAGAGTGCTAGAACATTGGCAGAAGGGAAGGAAAAGAACAAGAAAAGTGATGATTGGAGTTTGGCTGGGCAAGTAATTGGGGAGGAGACAAGATCTTCTGGAAATGCTTTGGTCCACAACCTTTCTGAAGCAGTTCCAACTAGAGTTGACAGAATTGTGAGACAAGTAGAGAAGGATGTTGACCAGTGGATGGAAGGGAAAGAGAAGACCAAAGAGAAAGAAAGTGATCATAGATTCGGGGATAAACATAAGGATGAAAATAGAGAGAAGAAGAGTCATGGTAAAAATAAAGACAGGGATAAAGGGAAGAAAAAGGAGGAGAAGGTGAAAGCAAAAGGCGAACAGAGGAATGTGGAGAAGGGTAACTTAAATGGTAGTAACAAAGTTGACCTCATAGATACCATTAATCTTAGAACCTTTCACCCTTCCGAGGAAATTGGCAAAAATGCCATTGCTGAGGAAAATCTGCGGAAACGGAAAGACTTTGAGAAAAATGGTTTTATTCATGGTAAGTTTGATATCACTTTTATTTACAAATTACATAATTTGCTAAAACTTGGTGGCCTTTAATTCCTTATAAAGCTTTACTTAAATCTGTGTCAATATAGTTGCAGTTCCTCTTATCACAGTGATTATTCCTTTGTCTCTTCGGTAATAGGTTTTTAATTCTATATCCTTTTGGTTAACCATTTATACTTTGCTTTCTTGATTTTTCTAGCAGCTAATGACATTAAACCCAATAAGTTGCCAAAACCCACTTCCTCTCATATGTTGAAGGAGAATGGCTTGCAATCTTTCCAGGCTTCCCCCACACCATTTAGTTCAGATGGGCAGGGGCCAGCTAGTAATTGTAAGGTGGAAAATAAAGAGCGCAAGGTAAATGGAATAATTCAAGCTCAGGCATTCAATGTCTCCTCAGCAAAGCCTTCATTGACAGGTGCACAAGCTGAGCAGGCAGATAACACGTCAACTAAACCACCCCACCCAGATTCGAAGTTCTTGTGCCAGTTACTCTCAGTTCCCAAAATGGAAGAGTGGCCAGGTTTCAATGAACAAGAATGGCTATTTGACAAAAATAGATCTCAATTAAAGAAGCCCAAGATGGGAACTTCTGAGATTGATGAAACATCCCAGGTATGGGCGGAGGCTTTAAGGATAGAGTCAGCTGATGTCTATGCTCTCCCATATGTTATTCCATACTGACATATATAGTTGGGCACTCAGTCAATCCCTTACCCTTGGGAACTCTCCGTTCATCCTGTCTGTGGGAGGCAGCATAGGGCCCTGGGGGTCAAGTATTTGATTCAGGTTCTGGATTCTTTATCATCAGTCATGATATGCCTCTGTTGCAGTGAATTTTTTGCAACTGACTGCCTCGATCAGAAACTACATTGAATGAAATTTTTCGGTCACACAAATCATGAACACGCCTTTGTTGTCATTCCACTGCTAGAATTGGATGGTGGGTTTAGCCTCCTGGCACAAGTTGCTAATTCATTCAAAACACGCAGCTGTAAAGGCAACTGCTTGAGGTTGCAAGGAAAGGGCAATGTATAGGCTTGTGCCATTTGATTTTATTTGCTTAGAGCCGAACTATTGAGAATGTAGGAGGAAGTAGCTGCGGTCTTTGCTACCTCACTGCAATTTTTGATTTGTATCATAACACTTATTTACAAAAGATGTTGGTTTACAGAAGATGTAAGATGGGTGGAAATGAAAGTAGTGGCATTCATTTATTCACCTCCCCTATGACATTATTTTTTCCAGCATTTACTTTTGTCTGTAGATCTTTTGCTCGCAGGTCATGTGCATATATATATATAGGGTACACAGGTCTTACTCAGAGCATTAATACAATTTTTCAATCATAAAAATTAAAAAATAAAAAATAAAAAAAGATTAGAATTTTGTGTAAATATAATATATAAAATTTATATTTAAGTAAATTTTTACTCTTTTTGTATGTATATATAGAAAAAGTGCCTATTCACCATACTAAAAATTAAGAAGAAAATCATTTTAAAATTATATTAATTTAATAAATTTTTATTAAAAAATAAAAACCTTGTTTTTAAAATATGAATTAAACTATTTTTAGTCCTTTTTGTAGTATTTTGTTAAAATAATATAATTTCAAAATAATTTTTTTCTTAATTTTTAAAAAGTAAAGTAAATAAGTACTAATATCTACATAAATCTAGTTTTATACATATATATATATAGGTAAAAGTGCCTATTAGCCTTACCTCCTAAAATTTTGGAGGAAAATCATCCCAAAACTACGTCATTTCAATAAATTTTTATTGAAAAAGACAAAACTACTTTATTTTTAAAGCATGCATTAAGGTAATTTTTATTTTTTTTCCTCCTAAAATTTTAAAGGTAAGTGGACAGGTACTAACCTCATATATATATATATATATATATGTATATATATGTATAATGAATATGTTACTGGGATGACATTTTCCATCTATATCAAAATTCTAACTTTCCAAATTTTAGAGGGGGTTTAAGTTTTTATCAATTTAAACACTTTGAAAAACTATTTCTATTTTTTTAAGTATTTTATTTTTATGTTACTATATATATCTACTTTTTAAAACAGTATATATATCTATTTTTTAACAATGAGAAGGAACACAACTCACATAGTTTATTATTTTATTTGAACCCATCACGTTAGCTGATTCACCCCTTGAGCCTAAGAATTTGGGAAGATGAGGATGAAAGTTCTCTTCCAATCAAATTACTTGTAAAAATTATCACATTTCACAAATTTTCTCATGTTAAAAAAAAAAAAAAAAAGTTTATTTTTCGACCAAATGGACACATTGATTCCCAATTGATTAACAGCTTCGTCTAGTCTAGTATTTCTTGGGTAGGTGACGATGATGATGTAATTTCATTATATCACCTAGGTAAATACAGCTTTCAAGTGGTCCAAAAAATTGGGCTAATAAAAGATAAATAGAAAAATGGTTTTGCTCGCACAATTTAGGAGAAATGCGAAACCCGCATTACTTCGATTTCTTCAATTTTGAAAAATATTTTTTGCACCTTAGCTTGTAGCTTGAAATAAGGTGTTGGGAAGACTCTGTCAATAAGAGCTTACTATTAAGGTCTAATTTATGGAGTGGAGACATCTCAATCACTTATAGAGTTTGATATTATTATTTTTTAATACGAAAATATTAAAGGTTAAACTCATAATTTATGATTAAAGATATATATAATTTTATTATTAAATTATATAATTAACGACATTGGAATTTTGTAATCTGGTACCTCTACATCCTATTGAACGTACATCTCTCAATTCAAGAATTAATATTTGAATCTCTTCACTAAAAAATGAGGATTTGAATCCTCCGATTCACAATGTAATCTGTTCAGAAAAAAAAAATTATATAACTAATGTCAGCTTGACACTACTGTCTAATATATAGAAAATTAAAATTTTCATGTTCAATGTAAAGCAAAATTACTTGTAACTAGTCGAAAGTAGTAGATGGCAAAATTAATAGAGGACTCAGGGTAGCTAGTATTTGTGGCAGCAAATAAACAAGAGTTATGGTTCGTCCCAATTAATGGCAAGGAAATTGGAGAAAGTGAAGATAAATAACTGGAACGCTTTGGCTCATTTTCATCTGCAACAACCACCCTGTCCTCACTCCTCACCATGGCTTCTCCCAAAGATGACAATCTAGTCTATAACATCCAGCTCTCCTCCGTAGGACCTGGCCACGTGACAGTACCTGATGCCGTTCACCATCTTAGGTCCATGGACTTAGCCATGAAGCTTCACTACATAAAAGGGGTGTACTGGTTCAGCAGCCAGGCGGTGGGAGGGCTGAGCATAAAGAACATCAGTGAAGCTACATTCTCGTGGTTTGATGAGTACTACATGACGTGCGGGCGGTTGACGAGGTCGGAGGGACGGCGGCCGTACATAAAGTGCAACGACTGCGGCGCCAGGTTCGTGGAGGCGCAGTGCGACAAGACGGTGGATGAATGGCTGGGAATGGAAGACTTCACCTCATGTAATGATCTGCTTGTTTATCATAAGCCCATCGGGCCCGAGTTATCATTCTCTCCCCTAATTTTCTTGCAGGTACGTATCATGAGTATTTAATGATTATTCCTATTAGTAAACCAAAAAGAAAGAAAAAGAAAAACCCAAAAAAGAAAAAATACTTATGTCTCACGAATTTTAGTCATTATTAGGAAAATAATTGAGAATTAATATTTTTATAACCTTTTCATATAATTTTTAATGTTATTTAATAATTGTGTTTTTTACTATATTAGAATAAGTAATAATATATGTGTTCAATGAGGAAACCAGATATATCTATGGTTCGGCATTGACCCTATTATGAGTTCTAAAAATTCAAAATAATAAAGTTAAAAATATAAGATATTAGGAGAAAAATAGATTAGAGGTCTTATCTTAATTTTTTTTTGAGAATGAAAAAAATTAATACTAAAGTTTGAAAAAAAAAACTACCTTAAATTGATTATTGGTTTAATTCTGCCCATTTCAACTAATTTAATTACATATTTATATAAAAAAATTATATAAAAAATAATTCGAGTATCATTACTTTTTTTTTATTATTATTAGAATGGGATGCTTTCCTCTTTGAACCATTTAGGATGATAAAACATCAATTATCAAATTAAGAGGGCTCTTCTTTACATTTCTTGGAGTTGACTTAAGTGGAACATTTTTAACATTTACCAAAAATTATTACATGTCCTCCCTGAGGTAAAGCATTTGAAGGACTTAGTCACGTCCCATATATACAACAAACTTAATACTTCTCTTTCTAAATCCTTAATTTATAGTGTCTTTTAAAAAAAAAATTTTTGAGGTTTCTAATATATGGCATAAAGTTATAAACACCCTACGCCTTTTACTGGCTAATGAGACGTCTTCGGAGATTTACATTGTCATTGGGTCGATTGTGTGGATCAAAACCAGAGGTCCCAAATGTTAAAACCAAGGCCGGTCCTAAAATTTGTCCGAATCCATCTCAAACTGACCTCAAACTAAATTGAACTATACATATGATGAGAAATTCTTTTATATGAGGTGATATCACGTTAGTGGTATTCCATGCACTAATATAACAAAATATAGAGTCACTCATAATAATGTATCATTACATTAGGGAATAGAAACACAACTGACACAATATTCTCATTGTATAGAGAAATTTCTTTACATACAAACACATCCATGTGCATACTAGCATTTGCTTAAATTTTACATAAAATAGGAATTAGGAGCTAATTACCATGGCACATTCATATGCCTTGAATTTTTCGTTGTTTTGCAATCAAGCCCTTAGATTCGGTGTTTTAGCAGGCAACCATGTTCAAGTGTGGAGGGATGTCACTGGGACTAAGCTGGCCTCACATCTTAGGAGATGCATTTTCAGCTTCGGAATTCATAAACAGATTGGGCCATTACATTGCTGGGCTTAGTCTTAATGAGCCGCCCAAGCTTCCAAAAACACCCAGCAAAAGCAAAAAACGTGATAACCCGGCCCAATCTGTCAAACAACCCCTTTCCGTTAAGCGGGTGAACCCGGTTGGAGACCTCTGGGTAACTGAAACTAACTGCAAGATGGAAACAATTTCCCTCCACATTTCTCCAGCACAACTATCAAACTTACAGTCAAAGATATCCGGCGAGAATCGGAACGATTTTGAGTGTCTCTGCGCCATTATTTGGCAATGCATAGCCAAATTCAGAGGAGAATTTGAACCTCAGATTGTAACAATCTTCAAGAAAGGTCCCTCCAACCAGACTGGAGATTGGGTTCCAAGGAACGCTCAAATCATAAGCACTGTTCAGGCGTATTTTTCTGTGAAGGAAGCGGGTTTGACGAAGCTGGAAGTGCTGCTGGCGGAGCGGGGAAAGGATGAGATAAGCGAGATTGAGGAGGTGGTAGAGAGGGATAATGGGGTGTCTGATTTTGTTGCCTATGGAGCACGACTGACATTTGTGAACTTGGTAGATGCAGATATGTACGGATTTGAGTTGAATGGAGAAAAGCCGAAGATGGTCTATTATTCTCTCCAGGGTGTCGGAGATGAAGGGGCGGTGGTGGTGCTTCCAGCGAGGCTGGAAGATTCCAGTGGTGGCAAAGGAAGGATTGTCACCGTGACTTTACCAAAGGATGAGGTGCTGAAGCTCGAGTCTGAGGTCATGACATGTGGCCTATTGCTTGAACGTGAACTGGAATGAGTACAGAAGTTGGCATATTTTGATTTAAAAGTAAAAAAGAA